GTTTCACTTGGAATGGGGAGTGGCCGTTTCTCTAAGAGGAGCACAGACCCAAAGGAAGGGTGGGAGTGAACCGGTAGAGACGGGGAGGAAAGCCCTTTAGGCAGAGGGACTTGCCAGTACACAGGTCCTGAAGCCAGACGCTTCTTGGAAAGGTCCCGGTGGGAGAGAAAGAGGAGGAATTCAAGGTTTGGGGCCTGAGCACCGAGGAGGATGGGCTCCCCCCTTCCTGAGCTGGGAAGCCTGCTCTGCAGGCTTGGGAGGTGGGGAGTTGGGGTTGGAACGGGGCGAGGTGGAGGTGCCTGTGCCATGCCAGTGGCGAGGTCAGGTAGGAAGTTAGACACGCGAGTCTAGATTTCATGGGAGAGTCTGGCTGGAGGTATAAACACGGGAATTGTCAGCAGGCAGGCAGCGGGACCAGACGAGAGAGGAAGAGGGTAGACAGAGCGCGCTTGTCTGAGAAGTCATGCGTGCTCCAGCGATTCCAGGTCGGAGATGGAGTCATTCCCTCAGACATTTCTGAGTGCCACTCTCTGCCGGGCACTGTGGCTGCTGTTGATACAGGCGGGAAGGATCAGAAGTCCATGCTGTCCTGGGGCCCACAGTGTACATAAGGGACATACACAGCACACACTGTGCCAGCTGGTGATGTGTGCTGTGGAGGAAACGAAACGGTGATGGGAATGGAGTGTGCAGGTGGCATGGATGGCAGCTGTCTGCAGTGGCAGAGAAGGCCATGGTGGGAATGTGGTTCTTTAGCCACGACCTGGAGGAGGTGAGGGAGCCATGCAGGTTCCTGAAAAGAGGATGAGGGAGGGAGATGAAATGAGGAACTGGCATAGGGGCTGGAAAAGGGCCCCAGTGAAGTAGAAGAGCCACAGGAAGGTGGTACCTGGAAGCTGAGTGGTCAGTCAGAAGACGAGGGTTAAGAGCCGGCTGCTGGGGGTAGCACTGGTGACCTTGGTGAGAGCTGTGTGGACGAGGAGGAGGAAAGAAAGCCTGATTGCAGCTGGGGTCCAGTTGCTGCCCATGGTCACATGGGAGTTACATGCAACCCCACTTTGGACCTGGATCTTCTGAGTCCTACCCATTCCCCTATCCATTCCAAATGCTACCTCTTCCGTACAATCCCAGGTGCTGGGGCTCCCCATATTTGCATTTCATCCCGTCCTCGGATGGGCACGAGCTGTACCCATGAGGGGTCTTAGGCACTCCGCACAGCCCTGAGCTGCCTGCCTTTGCCGAGCTACCAAGAGCGCCTGCCCTGGCAGCGAATGGTCCTTGTGCACAAAGGGCAGGTGCCAGACAGCCTCATGGGGAGAGGTTACAGCTGCAGAGGCTCAGGGGCACTGTGAGAGTCTGGCTCCGATGGGATGGGTGGCCTGAGGGGCCTCCGCAGGTGGAGAAGCAGGCACGTAGCTCATTCACTGGCTGGAGGCTCATTGAGCGTCTCCTCTCCTAGGTGCCCGGCCCTGTGGGGACAATAAGGTGATGAAATTTACCATCTTTGACCTCAGGAAAGTGTGACATGATGTCAGGAAGGGCGGGAGATCAGGAAGCTTCCAGGCATGAGCATTTGAGCAGGTCCATGAAGGGAGTGTAGGGATTTGCCAGACTGACTGGGGATTCTGGGTGGATGTGCCAAGATGAAGACTAAATTTGTTTGTTTAAAACAAACAGTTCATTCTTGTATTGTTGTTATTATTATTAATTATTACCTAACTTTTGCCCATCCCTGTAGTGTTCCAATAGGAGACAAAGGCAAGGGATATTTATGAGAAAGGGAAGGGGACATTGTGTGTGT